CTACTGCTGATGTTCCTGGAGGGCCAAAGGTCTCTTAAATTAGCTTGTCATGAATGCTGCCTCTTCAGGGCAGTGGGCTCCCCTCTAGCCCAGGACAGGTCCAGAAATGCTATCGAAGAGTCAAGTTCTAGAATCAGGGGCCCCAAGAGCCTGCTTGGTGCTGTGTCCCTCCGTGGCCATGCTGGTGCCTAAGGTGCAAGACAAGGTCCCCTTACTTTTCCCTCTGCTTTTCTCAAGCGGAAGGAGTTTTCCTCTGTAGCCACCACAACTGGTTATGTGCTGAGTCTCACCTGAAGCCAGCAAGTCTCAGGCTCACCAAAGGCCCTTGATGTAGTACCTGGATATCACTGCTGGTTATTCAGGGTCCAAGGGCTCTTCAATTAACAGGTGATGAATGCTGGCAGGACTGGGCCCTTCCCTTCAAGGCAGCAGGTTCCCTTCTGGCCCAAGGTGTGTCTAGAAATGTCTGGGAGCTAGGCCCTGGAACAGGGGCCTCCTGATTCTGACCAGTGCCCTGTCCTACTGTGGCTGGACTGGTATCTGAGATGTAAGACACAGTCCCCCCTGATCCTGTCTCCTCCCTCAAGTGGAAGGGGTCTCTTTGGGAGCTGAGAGCTGTGCAGCCTGGGGTTAAGGGAGGGATGATGCCATATGTCACCACCTCTCCCTGCCCCCTGTCAGTTCACTGTCTCTGGGCCTAATTCAGCACTAGGACTCACCTAAGAGTTGCAGTCCTTATGGGCTAGACAGCCTTTCAACTTTACTTGGAGAGAGAGAGTGCTGCAGTCCTCAGTGATGAGGTTTGCGGGCACTTAAGTTCAGACCACTGGGATCAGCAATTGTTCCCTGGCTAAGGCTGGTTTAAATGTCCCCTCCATGGGCAGGTATCAGCTGAATTTGGTCTGGTTTTCCTTTCTGCTGTAACAGGACAGCACTGAGTTCAGTGCCTCACAATTGCTGTGTTCTCCCTCCCACAGCACCTAGAGATGCTGTGTGCATGATGCCGCTGCTGCTGGGGGTGGGAGAGGGGTCTGCTGGCAATTCAGGACCGTTTTTTAAATCGCCTCAGTGCCTCTTTCAGCAATATGAAGTTAAAACCAGGTACTGTAAGTGCTTACCTGATTTGTGGTTCTTATGAAGTGTTTTTTTCTGTGTGATAGTTGTTAATTTGGTGTCCTTGCCAGGGGGATGATCAGGGGAGCTTTCTATTCCGCCATCTAGCTGTGCTCCCTCTCTATAGTTTAAAATATTTGAGGTATGTTAGGGGGAAGGTCTCATCTTGTTTTTCAGAAAGCGAAACTGTTTTTGTTCATTATTCCTATAACATTTACACACCTCAGAATGGCTAAACTCCAAAATATAACACCAAATGCTTCCAAAGATACAAACAAAGGAACATTCATTTCTGTGGTAATTCAAATGGCAGAGGTTGCAGTGAGCCGAGATCACGTCACTGCACTCCAGCCTGGGTGACAGAGCAAGATGCTGTCTCAAAAAAAAAAAATCACAAAGTGATCTCATTTCACACAAACTAGACAGGTAAAAATACATTATTCCACATGACTGGCAACATTGGAATTATCTAAATACACATGCAAGAACGGTGGGAGGGTCAATTCATATACTCCATTGGGACTTGGTGGCAGTCTTAAAGTTGCCCAGAATCTGCAACCCAGCACATTTTTTCTAATGTATAGAGAATTTACTGTGCACAGGCACATGGGGACTTAAAATATGATTAGAGCAGCATTTTCCGTAAGAACAAAACACAAAATTGAAGCATCATGAGTCCTAAAGATACTGGAATGGATGAGCAAATTGGGTAGCCCAAGCCTCAGACACCAGCATGTGTGAAACAACTGGGACAAAAACTAAGGAGACACCTACCCATTATTTCCTTCCATAGAAAGTGCAAAAGAGGCAAACCTTTTTTTTTTTTTTTTTTTTTTTTTTTTTTTTTTGAGGTGGAGTCTTCACTCTGTTGCCCAGGCTGGAGTGCAGTGGCGCGATCTCGGCTCACTGCAAGCTCCGCCTCCCGGGTTCACGCCATTCTCCTGCCTCAGCCTCCCGAGTAGCTGGGACTACAGGCGCCCGCCACCGCGCCTGGCTAATTTTTTTTTTGTATTTTAGTAGAGACGGGGTTTCACCGTGTTAGCCAGGATCATCTCGATCTCCTGACCTCGTGATCCGCCCGCCTCGGCCTCCCAAAGTGCAGGGATTACAGGCGTGAGCCACCGCGCCCGGCCAAAAGAGGCAAACTTAAGCAAAACACTGATTGGTGATAAAAATAATGGTATAGCCATAAAGAATATCCACAAAATTACGGGCAGTGGTCACCTCTGGGGACAAGAGGGAAACAAAGTCAAGGTGAAGCAGCACTGGGAGATATGACATGCCCAGGGTCTGTTCATTCTGAGTGCCCAGTATATAGAATTTTACAGTTATGATTAAACATAAAACATCCTATGCATTCTATAAGTATGCTGTATTTCACTATAAAAATATAATTCAGCTGGGTGTGGTGGCTCACGCCTGTAATCCCAGTACTTTGGGAGGCCAAAGCAGGAGGATCATTTGAGGCCAGGAGTTCAAGACCAGTCTGGGCAACACAGTGAGACCCCCATCTCTACCAAAAAAATAAAGTAATTCTTTAAGCATGAAAAACAACTGTCAAATATTTATTTTGCTATGTTTTCTGACTACCTTCCCAGTTCTCATTGTTCACTGCCTTAATTCAGGACACATTTATAAGTCTTTTAGACTGTACCTATTGCTATTCACCTTGATTTCAGCAAGAAATGACTAGTAAAAGAGTGGGGACATACTCATGTTTAATAGAGAACTGGCTACATAAACTTCCATCTTTTAAAAAAATGTATTAAAAAAAGTTTTGTGGGGAGACAGGGTCTCACTCTGTTGCCCACGCTGGAAGTATAGTGGCACACAGTTCACTGCAGCCTTGACATCCTGGGTTCAAGTGATCCTTCCACCTCAGCCTCCCAGGTCGCTGGGACTGCAGGCATGTGAGCCACCACAACTGGCTCAACTTCTATTATCTTGTGAACCTTTATAAAAATTAGGGAAGGCACCAGTGGATATGAAAAAAGCTGCAGGATTTATTTTCAAATGAACAAAAAAGCAAAGTGTGTAAACCATGTTGCCTTTTATAGTGAGGAAAGAAAAATATGTAGTTTAAATTACTTTTTATGTAAATGCTGAACAGACAAAGTAATAAAATTGTTACCTTTGGGAACCTGAGGCCACTAGGCAGGAATGCTAGAGGACATGCTAAGAGTGAGCCTTCAGGTAGACTGCTTCTAAATCTCAGGCTGGGTTTTGGGTGGGTGTGTGTGTGTGTGTTTACACACAGGGTTTTTTTGGTTTTGTTTTGTTTTTTTCTGTAGAGACAGGGTCTTGCCATGTTTCCCAGGTTGGTCTTGAACTGGCCTCAAGTGATCCTTTGGCCTGAGCCTCCCAAACAGGTATGAGTCACTGTGCCCAGCCTCAGGCTGAATTTTTGAATCTTAACATTGACTATAAACAATGATTAAGAAAATTTGCATTAACTATATTTTAATAGTTCATAAATCAGATGACTAATTTTTTAACAGGAAACCAGTTCTCTGTGTTATAGTCCTCTAAAGAAGTTTTATGAAATGAGTTTTTTTGCAAACCATAAGAAATCGTTAGGCACATAAAGATGGGAGCAATGGACACGGGACTGCTGGAAGTGGGAGGGATGGTGGAGAGTGAGGGCTGAGGGACTGCCTGTTGGGTGCTGTGCTCACTGCCAGGATGACAGGCTCATCCATAGCCCAAACCTCAGTGTCACAGTGTTCCCATGTGACAGACCTGCACATGTACCCACTGAATCTAAAATTAAGAAGGTAAATAAATAGAAATGTGTATTTTTTGTGATATGATTCCTGATGTTCATGAGATGTGGGTTTGTGTATTCTATCCCAGGAATCTTTAAAAAATAAACGTTAACAAAAAATTTTTTTATCACTTGAGCTCAGTAGTTCGACACCAGCCAGGGCAACATAGCAAAACCCCATCTCTACAAAAATTTTAAAAATTAGCCAGGCGTGGTGGCATGTGCCTGTAGTCCCAGCTACTTGGGAGGCTGAGGTGGGTAGATGGCTTAGAGCCTGTGAGGCAGAGGCTGCAGTGAGCTGAGGTCATGCTACTGCACTCCAGCTTGGGTAACAGAGTGAGACATGTCTCAAAAAAAAAAAAAAAAAAAAAAAAAAAAAAAAGAAATGAAAAAAAGAATTTTAAACATGTGGTTCTTAAATAAAATTATAAGTGATATTATAGGTTGTACTGCCATCACATCAAACTGCAGGGCATTTTTTGGTATGGACAGAATCTTAAGGCATTAGGATGGCATAACAGTATGAGGAGCTTCACTAACCTACTCCCCAGAGAAACTTGTGACAGTTACTTTAAAACAACCATTTAAAGCTCCTGGAAGTCATCCTAAAGGCAGACAGCCAGTGAGGAAAACTATTCAAGAGAATCTATGAAAATTCTTTGAGAAATATGAATCTATGGTATTTAAACCCTTACTGTTTTCTGATCCTGCACCCCACATCCTCACCCCAGTGAGGTGAACACTCCACTCTAGACTCTGTAGCCAAGGATACAAGGTTCTCTGTTTCCCCAGTGTAAGAGTTAAAGAGGAAAGAGGCTGGGTGTGGTGGCTCACACCTGTAATCCTAGCACTTTGGGAGGATGAGGCAGGCAGACTGCCTGAGCTCAGGAGATTGAGACCAGCCTGGGCAACACAGTGATACCCTGTTTCTACTAAAATACAAAAAATTAGCCAGGCATGGCAGTGTGCGCCTGTAATCCCAGCTACTCAGAAAGCTGAGACAGGAGAATCACTTGAACCTGGGAGGTGGAGGTTGCAGTGAGCTGAGATCGCACCACTGCACTCCTGCTTGGGCAACAAAGTGAGACTCTGTCTTTAAAAAAATGAAAAAGGAGGAAAGAAACACCAAACACTGCTTGATAGTCAAAGACAGGTTTATTATAGAAAAGACCTGAGAGAGGCTTCTGGCTGATTTCAGTCAGGAGCACTTTTCCTTGCAGACTAAGAGCATATATTGGTTTTAGGGTGAGGGAGCTTATTACAAGCTTAGAATGTTTCTGTGTGAGGGAGAGGTTTATGGTGGGGTTGGAATGTTCTGGGCAGAGAGGCAGTTATCTTGGGGGTGACATCTTTCTAGCAAGACAGGGGTTATCCCGAGGTTGCATGTCTCTGTGGGAGGTGTCTGGGATGTTTTTGGTTGGAGATGTTATGTGTGGTTTATGGTCATGCTGACCTTAGCCATTAGGCTGATGCCCTTTGGATTTAGGCAGTTTTTGATTAAGGTGAATTTTAAAATGAGGTGCTTATCCACGATGGTGATGCTCCTGCCGTCAATCCAGACCTTATAGTTATAAAAAGGATGAGGGGCGGCATGTTCTTTCTGGCTACTTCCTGCTGATGAGGGGATGGAGAGTTCCCTGGTTTCGGGTTGACTATAGGAGCAGTGCTGTCTGTAGATGTTTTTGGGTAGTTGTCTGTGAAATGGCCATGATCCTGTCAGTTTAAAAAGTCTTTGAAAAAGGTTAATTAGGCAGGGTAAGAACAGTAGTCCCATAATTAGGCATATTATTAGGAGAGGGCCCAGGAATGGGATGACCCATGCTATGATTTTGTTCCCAAACCAAGAATCTATTTGCTTGTTTTGGTACTCCTTAGCTTTTTTAGCTTTTTCTGTAACTTTTTTTTATAGCACTTTTTACTAGGTCCGATTGGCTGATATAGAAACAACATTCCTTACCTAATGAGAGCAGAGGTGCTGGTTTGGAAAGGCCCATGTGTTATTTTCTGCTAGCAACCATTATTCCTGCTATGAGGATAATAATTGAGCAAAATGCTATAGTAATTGAGATTCTATGTCTGATATTTTACCCTGAGGGTGCTACAGTATATAGTCCTACTGCAAATAGTAGAGTGAGTAAAGCAATTCCCACAAGGGTGGCATAGTAAATAATTTTCATTAAAAAGTTAATATTTGACTTAAAAGCAGAGGTAGGAACGATAAAAGTATTTGATGAGATAGGGGTGAGACTGAATAGGATGAGTAATTCTCACTTGGTTACTTATTTTTTTATGATTTTTAGCTTAAAATTTGCTATTTATTTCCTCCTGTGAGAGTCAGGGGGCTTAGAGGCAGAACCTGCTGAAACATCAAGTTTTCAGTTTATAGGGCTTTTAGAAAGCACAGCTATTTTGGAAACTTGTAGCCAGAAAAATTAGAATTTAATTTAAACAGAAAATAGCAAGATTTGAAAAACATTGGGCAACACTAGAATTTAACAACAGGTGTGCTATCGTTTTTGAAGCATAATTTTCTCTCTCAAGTTTACTATTTTCATTAAAAGACAAATCATGCTAGTAGGACTGAGTTTCTTTATTATACTTGGCTTAGTTATTTGCATACAGTGGAGCAAGAATAATTATTTGTTACATAGGCCCTTTAAATTGGCTTTGATGGAACTTTGTTTCGTAGAAGGAATCTGAGATAAGACCTTTTTAAAGGCAAGCCCAGCCATGGATTTGTACCATTGAATACCTATGAGTTGGGTGAATTCCTCTCCTCTTGAGGTTCCAAGATAACTTGGGACTCCTGGCCTGTCAAAAGGTGACATTCTTTACTTACCACAGATCAGAAACCCTGTACAGGGACTGTGTACACAAAATCTGAGGCCAGCTTTCCAAGGGCTTTATTGGCTCCATAAGTTAAATTTGATTCCTTGAAGGAAGGCACACCATTCCAGGCAAAGCCTTGGTAAGATAACCAGTTTTTCCCATTGTGTCCTGTTACAAAAGAAAACAGATTCTTGGTTGCACTTATGCAAATAACTATACTACCATAACTTACGAATACTTACAGATAGTTTCCAAATTCTGGAGAAAATCAGGTAGAGAGAAACAAGTATGCTCCAAATTTTGTTCATGGACGCATACTAAATTGTTAAAAGCTGTCAATAGCTCAAAAGAAAATATTCTTGGACTTTGAAAAGTAAAACAAAGGATTAGCAATATTTTAAGCAATACGTTAAAAAGATCACTCCAGGCTGGGTGTGGTGGCTCATGCCTGTAATCCCTGTACAGGCTCATGCCTGTAAACTCCCAGCACTTTGGGAGACCGAGGTCGGTGGATCACCTGAGGTCAGGAGTTCAAGACCAGCTGGGTAACATGGTGAACCTCCATCTCTACTAAAAATGCAAAAATTAGCCAGGCGTGGTGGCATGCAGCTGTAATCCCAGCTACTTGGGAGGCTGAGACAGGAGAATTGCTTGAACCCAGGAGGAGGCTGCAGTGAGCCGAGATCATGCCACTGCATTCCAGTCTGGGCTACAGAACAAGACTCTGTCTTAAAAAAAAAAAAATCACTCCAGTCTCCTACAGTTTAGTTCATGCAGTTAATTCCTGTCCTGATTGATATTAACATTTTAGTTTTTTAAGAGTTCTGAACGTTTTCCTCTAGTCTGATATAACAATTTTCAAAGTTATCAGAAACCTGCATTCAAGGGCACCTGTTAGACCTTTATAGCTGATTATAAAACCAACTTTTTAAAAAGGACCAAAACAAGACAACAATTGTTTATGGATGACAAAAAGTTTTAGGATTAGGCTGGGCGTGGTGGCTCACGCCTGTAATCCCAGCACTTTTGGAGGCCAAGGCTGGCAGATCACCTGAGGTCAAGAGTTTCAGACCAGCCTGGCCAACATGGTGAAACTCTGTGTCTCCTAAAAATACAAAAATTAGCCAGGTGTGGTGGTGTGCACCTGTAATCCCAGCTACTCTGGAGGCTGAGGCAGGAGAATCGCTTGAACCCAGGAGGCGGAGGTTGCAGTGAGCCGAGATCGTGCCATTGCACTCCAGCCTGGGCGACAAGAGTGAAAATCTGTCTCAGAAAAAAAGTTTTAGAATAGCCATAAAGACGCAATTGACAAGGATATCTGTTACCTCTGTGGCACACAATAATTTTAACATAACAATTAGAATTATTACTTATAAGGTACACTAAGATATGTCAGAATTGTAGGAGTCTCCCATAACTTTGGAACACATACCAATAACATTTATACAAATATAGCCCAAAGAAAGCCAAACACCATTTTGTATTTGACAATGCTTCCTGTATGATTTTATACCAAATACACCAAATTTTACCTTTATATTAGTGCACTATTAATAGTAAACTCCATTTTTAATAAAACCTTGTAGATGCATTTACTCAATTTTAATGTTTGACCATAAGGTAAGATTTTTATAGACCCTTTTTAACCCTTTATATTTTGTTAAAGAGCAGGTTAGTGCTTTAAGATAAACCCATTGTGCTTTTATTTTAATGCTCAATTTACAGAAAGACTGGATGCTACCCCTTCAACTTTATCCAATATGTTTACACAGAATTTCCTTTACAATTCACCTTCCAAAACTTGCTTAAACCTTCAAAACAATTCTTTAACTTTTTAATGTAGGTAAAAATCCACAATCTCATGCCTTCTTATAATCTTTTTACTAAAAGTATATTTTACTTTCCTTACACACTTTCCACATAATTAACTCTTAGCAAACTTTTGTTGAACACCTTGGTAAGTCTGGGATTTTAATTATGTACTAGGTGTAGAGCCTAGGACCTACACAGAAGTGCAGATAAAGTCTGTGTTAGTCCAGCATTAATTCTGTGTGTCCTAAGTTTTACCTAGCTGTAAAGCAGGAAAGTTGTACAGGTAAGAGTTACAGGGGCATTTTATAAAGCAGTCAGGAGCCTAATCACTTTTAAATTGTATATTTCTTGCATAAATTCCATTTATAAAATTTTTCTTGCCTTTCACAGACAATCTGACATGCCTCAACTTTCTGACTTGTTGGAAACATCCCTCTCTTTAAATAACCAGTTAATTTACTTTAGGACAAAAATTTACCATGTAACATTTTAAAATATAAATTCCTTTAATATCAAAGATAACAGTCCTTTCCCAAAACAAACTTCCTTCACGCCTGTGGACTAGACAGCCTAAGGCCATAAGAGTAGAAGTTAGGATATTAAATGGCTTAGGATGTAGGATTTTCATTAAATGAAAATCTTAGGATGTAGCTATTTTCATTAAACCAATATTAATGTTTCATTTACTAAAAAATTAATGATTATTTTGTTTGGGTTGAGCCATACTTTTGTTTTGATACCTTATAGTATTTGGCAGAGATAAAAATGAAATTGCTTGATTAATAAATGCAAATGAAAATGTATGCTGGCAACTCTTAAGACACTTCTAAGGCCGGGCGTGGTGGCTCACGCCTGTAATTCCAGCACTTTGGGAGGCTGAGGTGGGTGGATCACGAGGTCAGGAGATCGAGACCATCCTAGCTAACACTGTGAAACCCTGTCTCTACTAAAAAAAAAAAATACAAAAAATTAGCCGGGCGTGATGGCAGGCACCTGTAGTCCCAGCTACTTGGGAGGCTGAGGCAGGAGAATGGTGTGAACTCAGGAGGCAGAGCTTGCAGTGAGCCAAGATTGTGCCACTGCACTCCAGCCTGGGCGACAGAGCGAGACTCTGTCTCAAAAAAAAAAAAAAAAAAAAAAGACACTTCTAACTTTACCAGTAAGTTTTAAAGATTAAAGTCACGTGAACTGAAAGATCCCACAGCTTTTACTTTTCCCTTAAAAATATTTGATTTAAGCACTTATTTTTTTTGCCAATTAGAGTTCTTTTAATAGACATTGCACACATAACACATATATAGCCACAAAGACAACCAGAAGATTTAGTAGTTACAAGATTATTTTTCTGCCAATTTCTCAATTGACTTATTCACCTTTGGGTGGGGTCCTTTAAGAAAAGAACTAGGAAAACAGTTTCCAGGGCCTAATAAACAAGTAGAACTGGAAGACAAAGACTTTGAGAGGTACTTACCTTTAATTCCAGGGGTTCCATAAGGAAAACAGATTTTCCCCAAAATGGGATTGTGGCGCCTTTTCTGTTTTCCCTGTTTTCCCGAGGAGTCCCAGGCCACTAGAAGCCTGGGACTTCTAGCCTGGGTCTTTTATACATGCACCAAGGGTGGCAAACAGAGTGGAGAAAAGTAATTCAGTTAACTGGGAAAAAACCTTTTCCAGGAAAGCAAGATTTATGAAGAGAAGCCTTTTGAATGTACTCATAGCCTGGAGGAGGGAGAGACCTAGAGAGGGTTTTCATTAGGAAGAAAGATTTTTTTGTTTGTTTGTTTGAGATGGAGTCTCCCTCTGTTGCCCAGGCTGGAGTGCAGTGGCACAATCTCTGCTCACTGCAAACTCTACCTCCCGGATTCACACCATTCTCCTGCCTCAGCCTCCCGAGTAGCTGGGACTACAGGTGCCCACCACCACGCCCGGCTAATTTTTTGTATTTTTAGTAGAGACAGGGTTTCACCGTGTTAGCCAGGATGGTCTCGATCTCCTGACCTCATGATTCGCCCACCTCGGCCTCCCAAAGTGCTGGGATTACAGATGGGAGCCACCGTGCCCAGCCAGGAAGAAAGATTTTATGAGAGGTGCAAGCTTGACACAGGGAGAGATGGGATTTAAGGTACAAGCAGAAGAAAGTGTGAATACAGAGAACCTCTTGCCATTTGCTGTTCCTGGTTATAAAGTTGTTAAGGTTCCTGAGAATTTGGAAGTTAAAGGTGCCATTTCGGGCTGTCAGCTGTCATTATCTAATGTGTATTGGGGCCAGGCCATGTTACAATAAAAGACTAAGCCAAGTTTGGTGAGGTCAGAAAGGAGACAGCACAGGGGAGAGGGTGTGGGAACATGGGATTGTTTGGCACCCATGTGGACTGGCAAGAAGCCGCCGAGGGTGTCTGTTTTTGTTCTAGGCGTCCCCAGACAAAAGACAGAGACCCAGAGTCCTCTTTCTAAAGAGGATGGTCAAGCTGAGAAGAAACTGGGCATCCCCAAGATTTCCTCTGGCTTAGTCCCACTGGTCCTCTGAGGACCAAGACAGCAGACCTGACTTTTTCTGGGTACTGTGAGAAAGCCAGGGGAGGGCAGCTCTTACCAGTCAGCTGGATTAGTGTCTCATGTTGATGTTCCAGTTGGCCTCTTGGACTGCAGCTGCACAAGGGAGAGAGAGAGAGAAAAGGGAGGATGAGAGAAAAGTGAACAAAGAAAAGACGGAGTGGTGGCCACAGACCTTCGGGATCCAGGAATTAACTCAGGATGAGCTGCCATTGCCCACTGCTTCCTGGATTGCAAGAGAGCCTCTGCCCCCAGCACCCATCCTGGGTTTCGGCACCAAATGTAAGAGTCAGAGGAAAGAACCACGAAATGCAGCTTGACTGTCAAAGACAGGTTTATTTTAGAAAAAACCTGAGGGACTTCTGGCTGATTTCTGTCAGAAGTGCTTTCTCTTACAGACTGAGTATATATCGGTTTTAGAGTGAGGAGGCTTATTACAAGCTTGAAATGTTTCCATGTGGGGGAGAAGTTTATGGCAGGGTTGGAATGTCTCTGGGCAGAGGGGGTTTATCTTGGGGCTAGCATGTCTCTGGGTCAGGGAAGAGTTTGGAATGTTTCTGGTTAGAGATATTATTTGTAGTTTATGATCATGCTGACTTAGCCATTAGGCTGATGCCCTTTGGATTTAGGCAGTTTTTGATTAAGGTGACTTTTAAAATGAGATGCTTGTCTATGATGTAAATGCTTCTGCTCAGTCACCCAGCCTGTAGTCAGAAAGCTTTTTTCTAGGAAGGGCAGAACTTTACATCCTGTGTGCATATGTTTGAAAAGTGAGGACATGGTTTGTGAGCATGGTGCGCTCAGACTGCTAGGACAGTGACCAACTTTGCCTCAGCTCGTAGAGGTGGTGGATCCATACCAGAACACAGGCCAAAAGGACATCAGGCTTCTGTCCCTCCCCACCACTGAACACTCAGTTCCCAAAAAGAGAGGATTATTCAGAAAGCAGCTTGCCAGTATTCCTACCCAAGCTTCAGAGCCCTGTCAGATTTTGTCTTGAGGTGGAAGAGAAGCAAGCTGTGAAAGAGCTCCTAACCTCTTCCCTAAGAATTAACTTCAACTGCAACAGATCATGAGACATTTAAGCCAAAGGGCACTCCATCCTTGATGCATTGGAAATGGAGGTGAAAAACAATTCACAGGAGATTCGTGGATTTAATGAAGATACGGCCTGCCCTGTAGGCCAGCTAATTTGTGGAGAAAACCAGGAAAAAACACTGTTAGGGAGGAGTCCGTGAAGCATATAAACAAACAACTATTAAATACTGATCTCAGATAGTATTCTTAGAAAGGAGAGAAAACATACTTGGATTTACAGGGAAAATTTGTCCCTGGACTTTTTTGAGAACAATAGAGCCATCAACCAGCAATTAGTACAGTTTAACATCTGAGGGCTGTCCAAGAGAGGAAGAGATTCCCACTATACCATTGTCATCCCAGGATGACTGCAGGCAGAAACAAAGCTGAGCCACTTCCCCTTCCCTCAAGAGCAATATCAGAGGCTTAAAGTTATGAGGAAGAAATTGACAGAGCAGGAACATCGCCATCATGGGCAAGCACCTCATTTTAAAATTCATCTTAATCGAAAGCTGCCTAAATCCAAAGGGCATCAGCTTAATGGCTAAGGTCAGCATGACCATAAACCACAAATAACATCTCTGACCAAATACATTCCAGACTCCTCCCTGACCAGAGACATGCACCAAGATAACCCCTACTCTGGCTGGGAAGATGCCAGCCCCAAGAAACCCCCCTCTGGCCAGAAAGATGTCTGCCCCCAAATAACCTCCCCTCCGCCCAGAGACATTCCAAGCTTGTAATAAGCCCCCTCACCCTAAAACCAATATGTACTCTTAGTCTGTAAGAAAAAGTGCTCCTGACCAAAATTGGCCAGAAGCCCCTCTCAGGTTATTTCTAAAATAAACCTATCTTTAACCATCAAGCTGTGTTTCTTTCCTCTTTAACTATTACAGAAATAGACTTCACCAAAATAGTCCAATCGGTCACTAAACAAAATAAAGCAAATAACAAGGCCTGGAGAAATTGAACATACTCTGAGAAGGCTCAGTATGTTATCAAAAATGTCCAATTTGCAACAAGTACAGCCCATACATCAAAAAAAAAAAAAAAAAGAAAGAAGAAAAGAAAAGCTGACAATAGAAACTGCCTGTGAGAACAGACAGCAGATTTAATAGAAAAATACTTCGAAGTGTACATTATAAATATGTTCACAGAACCAAAGAAGAGCATGACTTAAACACTTGAGATCTGGAATCCAGCTGAAGGTTTCTCCACAACAACTACCCTACTTTCACAATTTTTCTAATGTAATGACTTCTATAAAAAATGACAAACCTGGCCAGGTGCAGTGGCTCACACCTGTAATCCTAGCACTTTGGGAGACCGAGGCGGGTGGATCATGAGGTCATGAGATCGAGACCAGCCTGACCAACATGGTAAAACCCTGTCTCTACTAAAAATACAAAAATTAGCCGGGCGTGGTGGTGCGTGCCTGTAATCCTAGCTACTTAGGAGGCTGAGGCAGGAGAATCGCTTGAACCCAGGAGGTGGAGGTTGCAGTGAGCTGAGATGGCGCCACTGCACTCCAGCCTGGGTGACAGAGTGAGACTCGGTCTTAAAAAAAAAAAAAATGACAAGCCCATTATTAGTAGTTCATTAATTAGACTTACATTCATTAATAGGTTTTGAACATACATTGCTACCAGTATCACAGAAGGTGCAGGTTTTCTGCCATGTATGAATTTCTTGAAAGTAAATGCACTGATTATTCTGCAACAAGGCTCCCCCATATATTTTTGTTGAAAATTTTGTTTTAAAAACTGGTAACATGCAAAGATCCCCTCAAGGGACTTTTTTTTCCCTCTTTTGAGTGCAAATCACCTTAGATTTCTCCCAGAGTTTTTCTGTTGATCTTTAATGTTCTGGTTTTCCCATTTGTTTCCTAAAATGTAGACCGAGAAAACTCATTATCATTTAGAAAGTATGGAAGAATTACTGAATTGTAGGTTCATTGTGCACTGTAGCCATGCTTGATCAATTCAACAAAGTACCCCTTTCCACATTCCAAATTTTGGAATAGCACTGATGGCCAAGAAGCACTTGCTCTCTAATTGACTAAAGGAAAAAAATATTATCCTCACCTATAGAAGACAGGTGCTGATGGCTTCCCTCATCACATCTCTACAGATTCTTCATGGAAAAATCCAGCAAAGCCCACTCCTCCTGGATGAAGTTCACAGCCACATCTTCAAAGACCACCAAGCCGTGACATATCCCAGATACGTGTAGAGGAGGACAGGTGAGACGGACAGCACTGGGGATCTAGACTCAGTTCATGAGAGTTCACGCTGAAGCGGTGTCATTGTCTCACGGCCATGGAAAACTAGGGCATGGACCACACAAAGAGTGAGGTTCTGAGCAGAAGTTTAATAGGCGAAAGAGATGAGCTCTCTCTGCTGCAGAGAGAAGGGTCCCAGAGAAGTGGGTTGCTGCTTCCACAGTGAAATGCAGACAGTTTTATAGATGAGCTTGAGCCGGGCGTGGTGGCAGGTGCCTGTAGTCCCAGCTGCTCCGGAGGCTGAGGCAGGAGAATAGTGTGAACCCAGGAGGCGGAGCTTGCAGTGAGCCGACATTCTGCCACTGCACTCCAGCCTGGCAACACAGCAAGACTCCATCTCAAAAAAAAAATAAAAATAAAAATAAAAAATAAAAGAGTAAGCAATGAAGGAACAGTGATAAATTTAAATAAATTAAAATTAGGAAGGTAAAAGACTAACAACAAAGTAGGAGAAAAATACCTGCAGTACATGCAATATAAAAGGATTAATTTGTAGAGTAAAAACAAACACAAGATTAAAACATGGGAAAATAAAGAAAATACTTAACTGAAAATGACAGACCATGTATGAAAAAATATCCATTTCCATAGTAATGAGGAAATAGCCAAATAAAATGTCAACTAGATGACATTTCTCATTGATTAGAAGGACGAAAATTAGTCAATTTGAGAATCCTAAGTGGCAATGACCATAGAAAATAAATAGGTATGCATGAATGAAGGAGTGGGGGTCAATAGATACATTCCATTGCTATTTCATGTCATTTGAACTTTACCATCATCTACAGCCCAGTAATTTTTCTCTAGGTAGTTTATTGTGCATTTGTGCTTAAAGACTATCGGAGCAATATTTTTCCCAAGAGCAAACAAAAACCCTGAAGAAGCTCAACCACCATAACTATTGGAATGGATGAGGGAATTGGATGGGACACAGCCTTAAACACTAGCATGTATGAAATGTACTGAGGCAAGGAAAAGGGCAATAAGCCTTTTCATTTTAATGAAATAAGGCCCATCCATCCATCAAGCAATAATCTCTCTAGCTATCAATTTATTATTTATTTTTATTTATTATTCATTTGTTTGGAGATGAGGTCAGCTATGCTTCTCAGGCTGGTCTAAAACTCCTGGCCTCAAGTGATCCTCCTACCCCCGCCTTCCAAAGCACCCTGCCACTATTTTGCAATATGTCCAGAGAATTCTATTCTTAACAAGACCTACCTTCAAAAGAAACTGTTTCTCAAAAACCGAATTGAGATTTTACCACAGGCAAACCCCTTGGGGTAAAGGAAATACCTAATTCCATCCCCCTCTTTTTTGCCTCAACTAAGCAGAAGTGAGGGAGAAATACTTTAAAGCGTCACAACACAGGGACACAGGCTTCCTACAAATGAGGTCAAATCATAGGTCCATGAAATGCTTCCCATAGTCCCACACCTGATCACCACATCCATAGCAGCAGAATATATACCATAATAACAGCAGAACACAACTGAAAAAATTATGCCTCAGACCTTTTACTTAAAGAAGTCTAAGGGTACAGAAATAAGCTGGGTAACACTGATGAAGTGGACAGATGTCTACAAACACAATGTACATAGACTGTCATGAAGAAACAGAAAATCTGAACAGATCTTCAGTTCTAGGAGACTGTTGTAGTAATAAACAAAACAAAACAAAACAAAAACCAGTAAAAACCTAAGACCAAAGAGTTTTACTGCTAAAATCTACCAAACATTTAAAATATTAATACCCATCTTCCCCAAACTTAAAAAAACTAAGAACACTTCCAAACTCATTTTATGAGGCCCAAATTACACTAACACCAAAGAAAAGACACTAAAAGAATGAAAGCTGCAGATAAGTGTCCTTTGTCAATATGATACAAAAATTCTCAAATACTAGCAAACCATATTCAGCAGTATATTAAAAGATTACACACCATGACCAAGTGAGATTTATCTCTAAAATGTAAGGATGGTTCAACACATAAAAATAGTGGCTGGGCACGGTGGCTCACACCTGTAATCCCAGCACTTTGGGAGGCTGAGGCAGGTGGATCACAAGGTCAGGAGATCGAGACCATCCTGGCTAACACAGTGAAACCCTGTCTCTACTAAAAATACAAAAAATTAGCCGGGTGTGGTGGTGGGCACCTGTAGTCCCAGCTACTTGGGAGGATGAGGCAGGAGAATAGCATGAACCCGGGAGGTGGAGCTTGCAGTGAGCCAAGACCACGCCACTGCACTCCAGCCCAGACGACAGAGCAAGACTCCGTCTCAAAAAAAAAAAAAAGTAATACAGCACAGCCATCTCAATGTAGATGTAGAAAAAGCATTTGACAAAATACAAAACCCATTCATGATAAAAACACAGAACTTGAGCTAGAAAGAAACTACCTCGATATAATACAAGCCATACATTAAAAAGCCACAGAAACATTATTATAGTCAGTGGTGAAATACAAAAAACTTTTTCACTAAGATCAAGAACAAAACAGGATACCTGCTTTCACCACTTGCCTCAATGCACTATTGGAAGTCCTACACCGAATGATTAAGCAAGAAAAAGAAATGCATCCAAACTGAAAAGGAAAAAATAAAATTTCTCTGTCCACAGATGAAACAATCTTATAGGTAGAAAATCCTAGATTGTGCATATGCACACACACATAGAACACCCCAAAATGGTTGGAACTAACAAATTCCACAAAGTTGCAGGATACCAAATCAACATGAAAAAGTCAGTTTCAACTGGGTGTGGTGGCATGAGCATGTAGTCCAAGCTGCTTTGCAGGCTAAGTCAGGAGGATCGCTTGAGTCCAGGAGTTCAAGGCTGTAGTACACTATAATTGCTCCTGTGAATAGCCACTGCACTCCAGCCTGGACAACATAGTGAGACCCCATCCCTTAAAGAAAAATCATTTATACATACTTCTCATTTATACATACTAACAACATATAATCTGAGAAGGAAATTAGGAAACAATACCATGAACAATAACAAAGGTAGCAAAAGACTTGTACACTGAAAACTATAAAATGTTGCTGAAAGAAATTAAAGATATAAATGAATAGAAAGACATCTCATTCATGGATTTTAAGATTTAATATTAAGATATCAATACTACTGAAGATGGTCTAGAAAGTCAATGCAATTCCTATCCAAATACCAATGACTTTTTTTTTTTTTTTTTTGGAGACACAGTCTCACTCCACTCTATCTCCCAGGCTGGAATGCAGTGGCGTGATCTCAGCTCACTGCAATTTCCACATCCTGGGTTCAAGCAATTCTCAAGTCTCAGCCTCCCAAGTATCTGGGACTACAGGCGCATGCCACCATGCCCGGCTTTTTTATTTTAGTAGAGATGAGGTTTCACCATATTGGCCAGGCTGGTCTTGAACTCCTGACCTCAGGTGATTCACCTGCCTTGGCCTCCCAAAGTGCTGGGATTACAGGTGTGAGCCACTGCGCCTGGCACCAATGAATTTTTTTAAAAAACAAATAGAAATGCCCATCCTAAAATTCATAGGGAATCTCTAGGAACCCCAAATAGACAAAACAATTGATGAAGAAGAACAAGCCAGGTGCAGTGGCTCATGCCTGTAATCCTAGCACTTTGGGAGACCAAGGCAGGCAGATCACTTGAGGTCAGGAGTTTGAGACCAGCCTGGTCAACATGGTGAAACTCTGTCTCTACTAAAAACATTTTTAAAAATTAGCTGAGCCGGGTGCGGTGGCTCATGCCTGTAATCCCAGCACTTTGGGAGGCCGAGTTGGGCAGATCATGAGGTCAAGAGATTGAGACTATCCTGGCTGACATGGTGAAACCCCGTCTCTATTAAAAATACAAAAATTAGCTGGGTGTGGTGGCACATGCCTGTACTTGGGAGGCTGAGGCAGGAGATCGCTTGAGTCTGGGAGGTGGAAGTTGCAGTGAGCCAAGATCGTGCCACTGCACTCCAGCCTGGCGACAGAGGGAGACACTATCTTAAAAAAATTAGCCAGGCATGGTGGTGTGTGCCTGTAGTCCCAGGTACTCAGGAGGCTGAGGCAGGAGAATTGCTTGAACCCAGGAGGTGTGGGGGTTGCAGTGAGCCAGGATTGCACCACTGCACCCCAGCCTGGGTGACAAAGCGAGACTCCATCTCAAAAAAAAACAAAAAAGAACAAATTTGGAAGTCTCACTCTTCTTTTTTAAACTTAAATATACAATAGATAAAACACTGTAGTACTGGCACAAGGATAGAAGATACATCAAGAACTCAGAAAGATATCCTCACATATATGATTAAATGATTTTCAGCAAGGTACCAGGTTCATTCAGTGGGAAAAGGAAGTTATTGCAAAAAGTGGTGCTGGGAAAACAATCTTGACATGTAGAAGTATGAAGCTGGACCCTTACTTTACACCATATACAAAAATGAAATGAAAATGAGTCAAGGACTTAAACTAAACTACTCTTAGAAGAATACATGGAGGGAGGAATTTCATAAAGTTTGAATTTGGCAATGATTTCTTAGATATAACACACGCCCAGTCACCAAAAGGAAGAATAGACAAGTTTGACTTCAAAGTTAAAAACTTCTGTCCCTCAGGGGATACCATGAACACAGTGAAAAGGCAGCCCATGGAATTGCAGAAAATGTTTGCAAATCACGTAACTGCCAAGGTGTTAATATGTAGAATATACAAAGAAAATGCACTTGACAAAGTTCAACATCTTCACAATGAAAACACTCAGTAAACTAGGAATAGAAAGGAACTTCCTCAACCTGCTATAAGGCATCTATTAAAAACCCACAGCTAACATCACAGACCTAAGAACACCCTCATTTTCAGCACTGGCTAATCTCTAGGATCAGTTAGGCAGAAAGTGAAGGTGGAAGCAGAGTTTTAAGCAGCCTTGCTAAGTGTTAAAGGAATGCCACAGCCTAGAACTATCCATAAAAACTGGAAGGTGTGAGGTTTTTTTTTTGAGACGGAGTCTTGTTCTGTTGCCCAGGCTGGAGTGCAGTGGTGCAATCACTGCAACCTCCACCTCC